CATGTTTCACTGTGGTGTTGGCATTTTTCTGTTGGTTCAGGCTGGGGACACACTGTCCAACGTAGGTGACAGATATTGGCACGTTATTGTAAATCCAGCACAGGTAGTTTGTGGTATTTAATGTTTGTAACATCCCACTGAGGGCAGAGCCCCACACGCTGCCCTGCAGGACAGAGCTGCGGCAGGGCAGCAGAACATGTTAGAGATAAACAGAATAAACAACCTTGAAACCAGCACAGACCAATTATGGCTTCTGCTTTGGCAGCGGGGCTGACAGACAGAGACTTTCTACAATCTGGGAATCACCAATACCACAGATTCCGACACTCCAGGAGCAGGGAGAGGTGGCTGGGAGGGCACTGGGAGCCACCAGCACGCACACACAGGCCAACGCTGCTGCCACAAGAGGAAATTATTAATTTGCTGGGAATAAAGTCGGCAGTGAGTCAAAAACCATCCTTCTCCTGATGTGCTGGGAAAAAAGGCTCCCAGACTGCCGTGGCGCCCTCCCTGCCAGCAGCCCTGCTGGCTCTGTTGGGAGGGACAGGCCTGGCACACGGGCACCACGTCCCCACGGTGCCCCATGGAACGTGGGCGGGCTGGCACCGTGTCCCCATCCCGGCAGGGAGCACGGCCGGGATTCACCCAGATGTGGCAGCTGCGCTCCCAGCGTGGGGCTTGTGGCACCCTAACCCAGGGCTGCTCCCAAACCCCTGGTACCACGGCAGGGGACGTGTCCCCCGCCCTGGTGGCCTTTGTCACTCCTTTTGGTGACATTCCCACCACTTCCCTGTTTTTTTCCCACTGCTGCCCTCCCTCCAGCTCCCCGAGTGGAGCCGGGGTATTCAGGGCTTGGCAGCCTGAATGAAGCCAGATCCCTGGACACATTCCTGTGGTTGTTGCTTTTTTTTTTTTTTTTGTTGGTTTCCCCCCCCTTTTTTTTCTCTTTCTTCCCCCTCCTCTTTTCCCTCGCTTGGCACAAGCTGAAGGATTCAAAAGGAAGCCAGGCTTGGCAGACACAGGGGGAGGAGGGAGTGGGGAGATGAAAGAAGGCCTCTCTCCAGCTTTCTCTTCCAGTTCCCACACTCGTGGAGAGCTCCTAATGATTCCCAGGCGCACCTGGAGGAGGCCTGTTTGTGCAGCCAGCAGGACAAGCCCCCATCACCCCACCCCTGCCATCACAGCCCCCCTGGGACAAATTGCCCGAGGTGGCACTTAAGGACACACCAGAATTGGCACTGAGGAAAATCTCTCCATGCACGGCTTGGGGGGCTCCAAGCAGCTGCCCCTCCCCGTGGAGGTCAAACCCTGCAGGGGCGTGGGCTGGGGTGGGCAGAGATGCCCCTTCACACCTCCCAAAGACTCACCTGAAGGGAAGGAGCACCAGGTGGCACCGAGGAAGGCGGTGGTGCCATTAGGGCACCGAGGAGGGGGACATCGGCCACCAGGTCACCTCTGGCAGCACTCACAGCCCTCCTCGCCCTCTCGTGGCACCTGCTCAGCACCAGAGCTGTCCCCATCCCCATCCCACCCCCAGTGTTCCCCCGTCCCCTGGGGCAAAGGCATCCCCATCAGGATAGACCTGAATTCCAGCACGGACAATGTCCACTCCTGCTGCAATTTCCACCACGAGTCAGCGCAGGTTGGGGAAGCTGAGCTTCCCTCACAGCGAATTCAGAGCAGATTTTCTCTCATTTATCCTCCCTGGCATCCACAGCTTCTCTGGGCAACCGGTGCCAGGGCCTCACCACCCTCAGAGGGAAGGATTTCTTCCCAATACCCAATCTAAATCTGTATTTCTTCAGTTTAAACCCATTCTCCCTCATCCTATCACTCCATGCCCTTGTCCAAAGTCCCTCTCCGGCTCTCTTGCAGCCCCAGAAGGTCCTGAGACCCCCTTTTCTGCGCTGCTCCCCTCCCAGGGGGATTATGGCACAGCCCCATCCGGCACAGCGCTGCCAGCAGAGCTTTGGAGCGCAGCCCCGGGAACGGAGCCTTGGCTGCAGGAATGGGAAAGCGCCAGGACAGGGAGATCTCCGCCCCTGTCACTGGGCAGAGCTGGGAAAAGGAGGCTGGTTTTTATAAAAGGGGATCTCCTGTGGGGATCCAGGGCTGCCCTCTGGCTGCCCTGGGACCCTGGCAGGGGTCAGGAACCCCCCTGGACAGAGCCCCCAGAGACACTGTCTGTGATCTCTGGCCATGGAAAAGAGTTTTCAACCTCACAGGATGAATTACAACCTCTGAGTGTTTGATATTAGTAATAATCAAGTGTGGCACGGGTGCAAAAGTAAAATTTTAGGATTCTAGATGAGGGGTTCAAAGGGGACAAGATGGAGGAAATTGAGTGTGCCTTGTCCTTTTCCTCCTTCTTCATGCCCTCCATGTTTCACTGCGGTGTTGGCATTTTTCTGTTGGTTCAGGCTGGGGACACACTGTCCAACGTAGGTGACAGATATTGGCACGTTATTGTAAATCCAGCACAGGTAGTTTGTGGTATTTAATGTTTGTACCATCCCACTGGGGGCAGAGCCCCACACGCTGCCCTGCAGGACAGAGCTGCGGCAGGGCAGCAGAACATGTTAGAGATAAACAGAATAAACAACCTTGAAACAGCACAGATGAATTATGGCTTCTGCTTTGGCAACGGGGCTGACAGACAGAGACTTTCTACAATCTCAGAATCATCAATACCTCAGATTCCGACAATCTCCCAGCAGGGAGCAGGCTGGGTTTGCTCTGCGGGCCCAAGACCTTTCCCACCTCACCTGTAGCTCCAGCCCAGCAGCCAAAGGGTTACTCCCACCAGCGTGGGGATCTCCATCGATCCATCCCCACCAGCAGCACCAACACGAGGGACAGCAACAATTCCCAGCCAGGGCTTGTGAGATTGATTTGGAACAAACCACTCGGTGCCACACACTGAGGGCTGGGCAATGCCCACCAGCTCTGGCCAGGAGGAAGGTGGGTGCAGGTACCCCCTGACCCCTCCTGGTGAGGGGCCAGGCTCTGAAGATGAAGCCCCTGGAGCATGTCCCGAGGATCTGGCCAGCACGGAGCTGGCCCAGCACTGATCTGGCTCTTGGCAGCAGGACGCTCCGTCCAGCGGGGCCGTGAGCAGCTCCACACCCGCCCCGTTGAATCACGGCTTCGTTGGTGGCCCCTCAGCGCTGGCTGGCCCTGGGTGTGCTCAGCAGGGACCATTTTAGGCACTGGTGACAGAGGTGTCAGCAGCCACGGCCAAAAATAGCGGTGTTGAAGGGATGAGATGGTCGGGCTGCTCAAATCCTGGCACGGCCCCGCCGGTGCTGATAGCAAGTGCCCTTTGCTTGTTCTCCTGCCGCCAGGTCCCCTTATCTGTCCTTCCAGCCCCGGGTGTTTCTGTCACCCTGTCACCAGGTCCCCTGCCCTGACATTTTATCCCCCTGGGATGGCTGCAGGTTCCTGCTGGGTTGTTGGCGCCTGTTTCCCCCTCCAGGGAGGATGTAAAACTGAACGTGCTGCAGAGGAGTCCCCCCCGGGCCACAGGACAGACCTGGATTTGTGTGGTCCCCACACACCAGCACCTGCAGGGGTTTTGCAGCACTTCAGAGCACTCCTGGGTTTCTGCTTTCCCTCCCTAAGGAGCTGGAATCATCCTCTGTTCCCTCTGGATCATTCATGGTTTTGGATTCACCATTCAAGGCCAGGCTGGATGGGGCTTGGAGCACTCTGGGACAGCGGGAGGTGTCCCTGCCCATGGCAGGCAGTGGCACTGGATGGGCTTTAAGGTCCCTTCCAACCCAAACCAATCTGGGATTCCATAATTCTGCCACGGCGATGGGGAAACTGAGGCAGGGACATGCCACCACTCCCCAGGGGCACACAAAGGCCCAGGAGAGCAGAGCCCACGCTCTGCCCAGCCTGCCTGCCACGCTCAGCAGAGCTGTCCCGCTCTCTCAAGACACCCCACAAGTTCTTGGGGTTAAATGCTGGATTCCTCATGCAAAGCAGCAAAGCAGCCCCTGCTATTCAGGGCGGTGATTACCTCGGGAACATCTGTGCTGATAACTGCTGAGTGGCAGCATAATTCCCACCAGCTCTGCCTCCTCCTCCTCCTCCTCCTCCTCCTCCTCCTCCACGGGCTTTATTTCAAAGCACGCTCCCTGCAAAGCCCTGCCGTGCCTGATCGAGGGGAAGACAAAATCAAAACCTCAGGCTCGCAGCAAAGCCGAGCCAGGCATCCCAAATGCACCTGCACAAAGCTCCCCCGTCCCTCCCTGATCTCAGCATCTCACAACCAAGGGCTTGGGGTTGTCCTCACAGCTTTTGGCTTTGTATGGACACACCTGGACTTTCCCTGGTGCATCTCAGGCTGGAATCTGTGCTGGAATTGGATTTTTTAAAAATTTTTTTTCTTTTTTTTAATCTCCCTCCAAGCATCTGGTGGAAGAGCACAGCAGGACTGGGGACGGGCTGGGGGAAGCTCTGCTGAGGGCCATCCACCCCTTAGATGAACACCCATAGCAGGGATGCTGCCCTGGGGCCTGTGGACATTCCTTGGCTATATTTGGTGGTGGATGGAGAATTTGTTGCTTCCCCTCAGTCCATCTGTTGCCCTGGCGGGGAGGAGCCGGCGCTGCTGCAGTGGATGGAGCCATAAATCTCCTCTGCCGAGCTCGTGCTGCCTCCCACCTGTTGGCTGGGAGAAGATCAAGTTGACAAAAGTCTCCTGCCAAGCTGTATTTTTATCCAGGGCTCCACCACCAGCCCCACAAAAGCCGCTCACGAAGCAGAGGGAGGCGGTTGCACCACAGCACATCCCACCCCTGGCATCCCACAGGTCTCCAGGCTCAAAGGAGGAGCTTTAATCACATTTTCCGAATCCCCTTAAACCCCAAAACCCCCTTTTCCTTCTTGTCACGCCCGCCCCATCACCATAAAACCTGGGAGGTCCCAAGCAGGGAGCTCAGAGCCTGCACCAGGCAGCCAAATCCTCACTGTGAGAACAGAGGGAGCCGGGCTGGGACCAACACGGTTTATTAGGGAAAAACACCCCCAGGGATCCCATTAACATGGCAAAAAAACCAAAAAACCACCGGAGGACAATGAAGTGAAATCCACAGCAACAACACACAGCAGGAAAAGTCCAGATGGCAGCCAGGGACAGCAGGACCCTGGGGAGAAGCGCCCGTCCCAGGGGATGATCCCAGGGACACTCCCCAGCCCAGGGGACGTGAGGGAAGTCCACCAGCAGCAAGTCCTTGTCTTCCAGTTGTACTGATGGAGGAGGGAAAAAAAAAACACAAAAAAACCCAAACAAAAACAGAGGAAGCCACGTGGAGAAAAGCAAAAGGGGCAGCCATGGTGGGAATGGAAAATCCTCCCTGCTCGGGAAGGATTTGGGGAGGTCTGGCTCACCTGGGGCTCCATTTCCTGAGCCCCACACCTCCCAGGGAGCCCCCAAGCTGCCCTGGCAGCAGGAGGACCCAAAGAAGGGTCACTAAAACCCCGTCCCCAGCTTGCACCCAGCTCCCTGTGCACCTCAGGGCCTGGAGAGGCAGCAGGAATCTGCTCAAATCCAGGGCTCTGCCCCAAAACCAAAACTTCCCCAGGCATCCCTCTCCTCCTGCCATCACCAGCATCACCTCTGGATCATCCCACGGACACATCCCCATGTCCCCAGTCCCACTGGCAGCCTGCCCTGTTCCCCAGGGCTGCCTGACAATTCCATTCCTCCTGCAACATCCTCTCCCCTGCACAAGCCAGGCTTGGCTGGGCTTCCACCATCTTCAGGAAACACCTTGGAAATGTTTACTGGCTGTGCTCCCCCTCCCAGCTGCCAAAAAGGTCTCCAAGATCCAGTTCAGATCCCAAAATCTTGGGTTCACATTAAAAAAAGACAAGACCTTTCTATAAACCAGAGTGCTGGCGGATGTGACACTCAGAAACTCGTTTCTCCCAGGATTTTTCGTTTGTTTGTTTGGATTTTAGACCTTCCTCCGAGGTGTTTGTCACCCAGATGTGACAGTCTGCCAAAGAATTTTTTTGGGGGGAAAAAGTGCAATTTGCTTTTCACTGCTAGAGTAGGATTTAGTGCAATGAGAAAAGTCTCCCAAGCCACTGAAGGCATCACCAGCTTGGTTATTTACATATTCCTCAAAAAAAGGGTGATAACTCCAGCTCCAGCTTCACTGTTTGAGCTGAAACATCCCTGGAAAGAGCCAGACACACAGCTTGGAAAATTTCAGCCCATGGAATTTGTAGAAAACTGCCTGAAAATATTGAGCAGCCTTCCTGCTCAGCTGTGGGATGTCATGTAAAAAAAAAAATTAAAAAAAAAAAAAATGAAAAGAAAAACCCACAAGGAAGAAATAATCTTTGAATTTTCCTCCCGAGTGTCTCCTTTGGGACAGGGCTTTGAGCAGAAATGTCAGTGTGATTTTCACACCAGTTTCTCTCCCATTGATTTCCCATCCTGTTTTTTAATCAGAGATTTGGTTCTCTCACAGCATCGCTAACAGAGGTGTCTATTTCAGGAAACACCACAGAGGTTTTAAGAAGCTGAGGAGAAAAAGATTATCGACTCATATGGGCTCAGCCTAGAAAGGGAGAAAAAAAAATCCTTTAATTGAAATCCCCAGGCTGAAATTCTCTGCAGATTTACCTAAATGGACTTCAAATGATGTCCCTAATATATCAAGGCCTGCTTTTAACTTAATTCAAGCCCTGGGCATGTGTCTGCAGCCCTTGGACAAGCTGGGCTTTGGATGTTCACAGAGATTATTAGTTTTAAGTGTTAAATCATGCAAGTGTGAAACCCAAATATAAAAACCTGGGCCAACAATACACCAGCCCAAAGCTCCAAGCAGGAAACAGGATTTTTTTCTTTTTTTTTTTTAGTATGTTAAATATTTGTTTCTATTTTTCCAAATTTAAGCTGGCAAAATCTTGGTGAAAAGACAGATATTGAGTATTTTCTGGTTGGGGAGCAGCAGCTGGGGCTGGGAAGGAATAATTTCATGGTTTAATTCCAGTTAAAAGAGACAAACTTTTGTTTCAAAGCTGCTTGGAAGGTTTTTGAGTGCTCCCAATTTTCCAGTTCACCATCTGCTTGGGAAAGCCAGGCGGCTTTGGGAATCACCGGGGGTTTTAAATAAATAGGTTAAACCTTCCTGGCACAAAGATTCCACACAGAGGCAGACCCATCCTCGAGGGGTTTTGTGCCCGGATAAAGCGGGAAAACATCTCCTGGCACAGAGGAGCCCCCAGCCCCACGAGGAACAGCAGCGATGCCACCAGACCCCACCGAGCAGAGGCACCAAGGACATCTTCCCCCTCTCCACAACCCCCAATCCCAGAACAAACAGCGCAGGGAGCGCGGCCCACGGGATGAAATCCGTGCTGGGGGTTTTGGGGATCCCCATCCCCATCCCCAACCCCGCTATTTGCTGTTTGGGGTTTGCTGCTTCTCCTGCGCCGGCCGCTTGTGCCTCTGGGCCACGCCGTAGGGGACGTGGGCGGCCACGGCGCCCATCTCCTGCGCTCCCTCCACGTGGAACATCTGGTCGTCGAAGAAGATGTGGGGCCGGATCTTCCTGAGCAGAGGTCCCTTGGGTGCCCCGGCCAGGAACAGAGCCTCGTCCGTCTCCAGGCCCCAACTGCGCAGAGTTTTTAGGGCGCGGGCCCCCGAGCTGGCCGCGCTCCGCGCCGTCACCAGGTACGTGCGGATGGGACACTCCAGCCTCAGCCCCTTGGAGTAGAACTTCTTCTGCAGCTTCCCCAGCGCCTCCAGGAAACCCTTCAGGGGGCCCTGAAAAAACCTTCCCGTCAGACTTACCTCTCACCACCCCTTCACACTGTGAGCCCCCCAAAAATGAGCCCAAAGCCGTCCCCTGGGCCAGCAGCTGCTGCCCTACCCTGTCACCCTGATTCTTAAGATTTTCTAAAGCCTTATGAGTTTATATTCTGTTAGAAAACTTTCTCACACGACTTTCTGTAAACAACCTATTGTTTTGCATTCCTCCATAGAGGCGGAGAAATTTGATGTACTGGTAGTTTGTCCGATGTCATTGGAGAGGTGGCACCTTCACCCTCCAATCCACTGTCACCTTTGGAAAAGTATAAATGCTGGAGTTTGAAAATAAACTTTCTTTTTCACCTTGCAATAGCCTTTGGAAAAGTACAAATGCTGGAGTCAGAAAATAAACTCTCTTTTCCACCTTGCAATAGCAGCGTCGTGCTTTCACGCGTCCTACGGTGACACTACCCCACCTCGCACCTCGCTCTGGCTTGATCCCAGAGCTGGGAGCATCCCACGAGGGCTGCCTCCCTCCCAGAGCCTTTTCCTGCCCTCAGCCCAGCTCTACCTGTGCCAGGGGCTTGTTCTCGTGAGCCTTTTCGTGCTCAAAGAACATGTCCAGGCCGTGAGCCTTCACGATCTGCTCCGACTCATCCGAGAAGAGCACGGCGTCCCCGTCGAACGCCACCCGCAGCTGCTTCTCCGACACCTCCAGGTCCCTGCTGGGGCTGAAGATGGTGGCTGCAGCAATCCCTGAGGATGAGACAAGAGGTGGCAGTTATCCAAGGATCCGTCCTCGTGCCTCAGCCGCCGAGGAGCAGAGCAAAAACGGGCTGGGAGCAGAACGCCCCGAGGAAACGCGCCCAGGAGCACACACAGCTTGGCCCCCCGAGAGCTTCCACGGCAAAAACAAACCCCCCAGATGACAAATCACCCTTTGCAGACAAGAATTAAGGAGGAAAAACACCGCCTTTGCCTCGGGAGAGCTGTGGAGCTGGAGGAAAGGCTCATTTCTATGGAAACTGGAGCTCTTTGGAGCGTCAGAGGCGTGGGGCGAGGCAAACGTTAAGTGCACGTTTAGGGACAGGGATATTGGAGTTATCCTTCCTGGGATCAACCCCCTGAGGCCTCCGGGCTCCCCCCGCTGCCCCCCCCGAGCTGGACCCCAGACTCACCCTCTTCAATGGCCCCACTCACTTTCTCGGCGTCGGAGGAGAGGTAGAGGTTGGTGTGATAGGCCTTGAGGTAACAGATGGGGCTGTTCCCTCCCGTCATGCAGAACCTCTCGATGAACAGATCTGGGGGCAGGAGGGACCCTGGGGTGAGCCTGACTGCCCCCCAAACCCAGCCTTGGTGCTGGAAGGCCTGGGGTTAATTTTGGTTCTGCTGCCCAGCAGCAGGGCCAGCAACCAGAGCTCCTCCCCACCAGCCAAATTCTGCTCAGCACCCAGAAAATCCAGGAGAAGAGGGAAAAACGGGAGAAAACATCTCCTTTTCTTGGTGCCAAGCAAAGACACCGCCCAAAAGCCACCAAGGACAGCTTTGTCCCCATCTCACCGTAGTGGTTGATGCTGTTGATCAAGCGAACCCCAACCTGGGCGTGGTTGTTGGTCATGAGGACGATGTCGAAGAGCTCCTCGCTGTCGGGGTAGAGCTCACGGAGCTGAGCATTCACTGCCTCCAGAGCCTGCAGCACCCCGGGGAGAGGGGGTGGGTGTCAGCCAGCCCCCCTAGATGTGGCCCTGACCCTCTTCCCACCCAGCAAAACACTCCTGGTCACCAAAATCCACAAATCTGGCCAGCCCCAGGTGTGCTCCCGGCCCCTTCCCATCGACAAAACACTCTTGGTCACCAAAATCCCCACCTCAACTACACCCTGAGCCAAGCTGACATCAGCTGGGAAAAAATAGATTCATTTTAGGGGGTGAAAAATTCCACTTAGCTACTTTTCTGTTTTCAAACACAAAAGGTTTGGAGTTATTAAATGAGGATAAATTAGCTCCAAGTTACAGAAAAGGGTTTTTTAAGCAATCAGAAACAAGTCTTGCCCCACAGAGCTGATTAATCTATTTACTGGGAACGGGCTCCAGCACCCAAAACTGCACTAACTGCTAGAGGGGTTAGAAAATATTTTTCAACTTTGAAATGTCTCATTTCAACACGTCAGGATTAGAAATTGGCCGACTCGGGAACAAGGCTAAACTCAGCCAATTTACAAGAATAAATAAATTGTAATAATAATTCCCTAAAGGAAAAACTTTAAATGTGATCCAAGGAGGTGAATTCTTCAATTCTTGGGCTGAAGATGGAAAATCCAGCCCTGGAAGCAGCACATCACTCGCTGGGAGGTTTGTCTGCCCTGTGTTTGCTCCGTGGCTCGTGTCCATCCCCACATGAGCTTTGTCCTCTCCCCAAAATTTCTGGGGAGCGGGGGCACTGTGGCTGCTCACCTTGACGAAGGGGAAGGCGGCCCCGGGGAGGAAGGGCTCGTTCTCGTGGTCCAGCTGATATTTGACGTAGGCCTCCACGCCCTGCTCCGTGTAGATCTTCTGCTCCTCCTCCATGCGGAACAGCGCCCGCGAGGACACGGCGATGGTGATGGCGTTCTCAGGCTTGGGCTGTGGGCACAGGGACAAATCAGGGTGGCAGCCCTGGGTGGCATCTCCTGGCATTTAAGGCCATGAGGTGCGTGAGGCTCTGAAAGGAGCTGAGCATTCACTGCCTCCAGAGCCTGCAGCACCCCGGGGAGAGGGGGTGGGTGTCAGCCAGCCTCCCTAGATGTGGCCCTGACCCTCTTCCCACCCAGCAAAACACTCCTGGTCACCAAAATCCACAAATCTGGCCAGCCCCAGGTGTGCTCCCAGCCCCTTCCCATCAACAAAACACTCCTGGTCACCAAAATCCACAAATCTGGCCAGCCCCAGGTGTGCTCCCGGCCCCTTCCCATCAACAAAACACTCCTGGTCACCAAAATCCACAAATCTGGCCAGCCCCAGGTGTGCTCCCGGCCCCTTCCCATCAACAAAACACTCCTGGTCACCAAAATCCACAAATCTGGCCAGCCCCAGGTGTGCTCCCAGCCCCTTCCCATCAACAAAACACTCCTGATGAAGCCCTGCAGCTCCATCCCCACACATCTGGGACACCCCAGATCCCGCTGCCGAGCCCTCCCGCTGCACACAGGCTCCCAAAAGCCGTGCAGACCCCGGGAGGAGCCCGTGCAGAAGGAATTTGTGTGGCTTTTCCCACCCCCCAGGCAGGAAGGGGCTGCTCTCTGCGGCTGAGCCAGATGCGCATCCCGTGATGCTGTCCAGATGTGCTGAACAGCCCGTGCCAGCTCAGCTCCTCCAAACCCTGATCCAGCTCTGGTGGGTGGAAACATGACAAACAGGTGGTGCAAGCAGCGATTTATGAGTCATTATTACTGAAGTTCGAGGGCTCCATCCAAAATCTAAACCCAAAACCTCCAGCTGGAGCCAACGAGGCGCCTCCAGAGGGACTTGGCAGGGACAGAGGGGACAGCGGGAAAGTCAAGCCCATCTTGACCCCCACCATCCTCCATCTCTGCCCTTGCAGGGCAGGGAGGGTGTTAATCCCCATCACTCACTTGCAAGCACAAAAATAAGTTAATTACCGATGGCCAGTGAGAAGTCCTGGCTGCCAGGACAGCAAATCCTACAGAGGGACAGCGGCACAGGGAGTCCTGTCCCCTGCAGAGGAGTCCAGCGAGCAGGACAGGGCTTGGGGGCTCTGAGAAATCCTGGCTGTGAGCAGGAACACCTCACTGCTCCTCTGTGACTTCCAGGATCCTCTGTGCCATGTTATCCATGAGTAATCCTCTGGCAATGCCATTTGCCCAGGGTGGAGGGTGCCTCCTCCTGCTGCTCACGCACACCCAGGTGCTCCAAAGTTCAAGCTCCCACCCTGCCCGGGGCTGAACTTTCCTGGAGCAGCAGCCTGGCAAGGCCCAGGTGCCCCATCCACACTGGCATCCGCTCCCCGCAGGGCTGGGCTCACCCTGGGGCTCTCTCTGCCCCCAGCCCCACCCAGGAATGAGTCAGTGGGAGCCTCCACGCCATTCCCAGCACCAGCCCCACAGCAGATCCATCCCAGGCACCTCTCCAGAGGCTGCATCCGTCCCCAAAATCCCCCAAATCCCCAGCAAAGCGATTAAACAGCAGGTGATTAGGACAAGACTCAGATTAGCTCAGGCTGGGACGATCACTGCAGGCACAGGGATCCCTTTCCCACAGCATTTTCAGGGGAATCAGATCCCCTTTGGAAGTGGCTCTTTTAGGAAAGCAGGGGAACAACCCCCAGGACAGGCAGGACCTGATCCAGGACACCAGCACCGCTCCAAGTGAACCACAGCCAGGTCCCCGAGGAGTGTCAGCTATTAACTGGTCACAGGCCAAGCCTTTGGCACTTCAGCTCATTAATTAATAACTCTGGTGTCATGGGCCATTTATCAGCTGAAAATATTAATAACTCTGAAAGCTCTTGGGACATCCGGCCATTAGCTGGAGTCCTGCTGCTCCATCCTGCTCCCGAGTCCCTGCAGCGCTGGGCGTGCAGGAAATCGTGCAGGTGTTTGCTCCCTGATCCTGGAGCGGGCTCAGCCCTGGAGGGAGATTCCCAGCAGAGAAAACAGGTCAGCAGCCCGGCTGGAACAGCACTGAGGCATGTTCAAGGGGGGTGAGAAGGATATTTGGGACCACAAGCCAAGCTGGGTGCCCAGAGGGAATTTCCATCTTCCACACCTTGCCCAACAGCCCCGGCTGCTCAAGGTCCCTTCCCCGCCTCTGAAAGGGCACCAGCCCTCGGGGAGGTTCATTTAAGAGGCAATAAACACAGCAATAAAAATAACCCTGAGCTCCAGGCCTGCCTCTGCCCCAGCGTGGGCTGCTGGAGCCCCGGGTGCCCGCGGGCAGGAGCCTCTGGGAACGGGAGCTGCCGGATCCTGCCAAGGAAGATTTTGCACCTCGTGGAGCACTCGGGGCAGGAAAGTCTCCGCCGGGTGCTAAGGCAGCTCCCAGCTCCGGCTGGGCTGGAACAGCCCTGCTGTTCCCTGGGAAATGCTGACATTTGGAAAACGAGGCGATTCTGCACTGCAAGGAGGGATCTGCATTTTGACATTTCTTTGAAGTGGAGGTTTCATTTGGAAGCGTTCCCTCCTCAAGGTTGTTTGGATGCCTCTCTGTCCCCATTAGTGCTGCAGATGGTCATTACAACGCTCAAAAATGAGCTTTAAAAAGCCTCAGGAACCACAGCACCTCAAATCCTCCATCTGAGTGCTGCTAACAACCCACCCAGCCCCACTTTTCCCCAGAAACTGAGATGTTTCAAGGCAAACATTCTCCTTTTGGAAGAGGAAATGTGTGCATGGGAGGGATCCCACTCCCAGTCCTGGGATGGATTTGGTCCCACAGCCCCATCCCACCACAGCCTCCTGCTCTGGCTGCCTCAGCCCTGGAGGGTTTGGGCTGAATCACAAACTCTGTTTTCCCCTCAGAGCACCAGCCAAGGTCAGCCAAGGTCAGTGAAAGCTCATCCAACACAAGTCCAGGCTCTGCTCAGCCAAACCCAACTGAATTTGCTGCCTGGGGGTTCATGGTGAGCCCCTCTTCCTTCCCATGGGAAGGTCAGACCCAGCCCCCTCCTGGACCTCGAGTGAGAGATTAACGATGGGTTTGAGTGTGAACAGGGTGGGGAAGGTCCCACCCCAACCCTGGGCCCATCCCTGGGGTCAGCCAAACAGAAGGGACAGTCAGGGACGTGTCCCGACACCACAGCCCTCTGAAGAGGAACATCAGCCTCTGGCACAGCTCCAGGAGGTCCACAACATCCAAACCCCACCTCAGAAGTGCAAAAAGACTTTTCCAGCAGGCTCCAGCTCCACCGAGTGCAAACCCCAGCCCAGACCCCAAACCCCCCAGTTTTGGGGTGAAGGTGTATTTCAGGAGTGACTGGAAACAGCCCGATTTTCTGCCTGCAGATCCAACAGCTGGCAGCCTTTAAACCGCTGCTCTGATCAGATGGCAATCCCCAGCAGCCCCCCAAGGATCAGAGGCAGGCATTTGGAAATCCCACAGGCTCCTGGGATGTGCAGTGGGACCGTGTCATCCCACCCACGAGAGCCACAGGTGCCCACGGTGTCACCCCTGGCAGGAGCCACAGTGGGGACCCCCATTCTGCACCCCTTGATCCTTTTGAGCTGCCTGGGGCTGGACCCAACTCCATCCTAAAACCCTGCAGGAATTCTGGCCACTTCCCTGGATGCTGCAGAAGACCAAACTCTAGTGATTAATTCAATATTCAGAAGATTTTGGTCACGGAAAGGGAAGAAGAAGGGTTTGCCCCAGGGTCAAGCATTGTCCCCACTTCAGCATCCCAAAAATCCCACAGGGGTGAGATGAGTGGGTCCCAAAGGGTGCCCAGAGGAAGGGAGCCAGCCAAAATCCAGCTCCCACTGGGCCTACTCGGTGTCACCAGAGAGGCTGGGGACATTTCCAGCATTGCTGAAGGGTGACAGGTCTCATTGCTGACCTCCCTGGCAGGAGCAGCGACCACTGCAAAGCAGGGATGCCCCATGAACCCATTCCCCAGGCAGGAATGGCTTCCCAAAATCACCTTTTCTCCCTCGCAGCTCCCACTGCCCTCTCCTGCTCCTGTTGGGCCAGGAGGACAGACAGACAGACAGACAGACAACACCAAACCCCATTTTCTGAAGGAGCCCTGGGCACCACCAGCCCCCTGCTCAGGATCAAATTAAAGTTCAGGGTGGTTTGGAGTATTCCAAGAACATTATTTATACTGCAGAAAAGCGCCCTGCCGTCCATCAGGGGCTGCCAGCTGCCTGGCACAGGGCCCCCAGCCTGCCCCAGAAGAGTGGCACAGCGCCTGGCACCGTCCCCAGCCCCACAGGGCACCGTGGCACAGCCCAGCCTCGGGATGTGAGCGCCTGGATCTCGGTTTGCAAACACACGGCTGCCCCGTGCCTCAGTTTCCCCAGTTTTGTAGTTACTGGTCAGTGAGCTGAGGAAGAGGAGGTGCCCGGGATGCCACCCATGGGCAAAGCACGAAGTAGCTGCATCCTGCCACCAGGCCTGGCTGTCCCTCCCCTCTGGGAAGGGCACAGGCACTGGGGGTGGCAGTCTGGTCCCAAGGGCTGCCCCAAGTGAGGGTTTGGGTTTGTCCCCTCGTGGAGAGGTCACGCACAGAGCTTTGTGGCAAGCACATTTCTCTCCCTCTCAGGATTTTTCAGAGAGAAATGAAAGAGAAAACCATTTCTATTTCTGCTCCTTGTTTTTCCCATGTGGAATGTGTTTGGAGAATTGTTTACCTGGGGTGATTGATGGTTGGATTCTGGTGAGGATTGTTTGAGCCTGGTGGCCAATCCAACCCACCCGGGGCTGGGCTCTCAGAGAGGGCCATGAGTTGTGTTAGAGAAAGTAGTATGGAGTTTTAATATCCTCCTTTTATTAGTATATTAATGTATTTTAGCATAGTTATAATAAAGAAATCATTCAGCCCTCTGAATTGAGCCAGATATCGTCATTTCCTCCCATTGGGTTCACCTGTGTTTACAACAGAGCTTTGCCACGGAAGGTGCCAGCAGGAAAAGTGTCCCACAAGGTGCCAGCTGCCACCAGGTCCAGCGCCTCTGCCAGACCCCAGATTTTGGGGGTCCCACGGCTCCGAGGGCGGCTGTGGCCGTGCCTGGGGGGCTCAGAGGCTGCAGGGGCAGGCGGGCACAGCCCCCAGCCCTGCCAGCCCTGCCATTCCAGGGCACAGCCGCGCTCCCAGGGGTTTAAAGCCACCAGGCTCAGCCCTGGTTAGATAACACAGAGAGATAACGCTGATCTCCCGGAGCAGGAGAGGGGCAGCTGCACCCCTGTGGCACCCCCTGACTGTCCCCCGGCTCTGGCAGTGCCACCCCTCCTGTCCCCGCCAGGGCCTCCCGCCTTGGCACTGGGCACAGGCGGCTCACGGGGCACCGGGCCACTCTGCAAGGACAGCCAGGAGCACCACAGGGACCCGCAGGAGATGGGGGGGTCCGGAGAGACCCCAACAACCAAGGGATGCCATGGAGGAGTGGGAACACCTGCAGAGAGCCAGGCCATCCCCAAGGACCTGCATGGAGGCAGGGGGGGTCAGAGAAACACCAGAGACACCACGGGAGACCCACAGAGCCTGGAGGAGATGGAGAACATGGAGAGACCCCACAGAGCCTGGAGGAGATGGAGAACATGGAGAGACCCCACAGAGCCTGGAGGAGATGCAGAACATGGAGAGATTCAGGGGGACCCCAAAACACGTGGAGGAAATGGGGCACAACAGAAGGGACCCCAGAGATCCCGGAGGAGATGGGGCACCCACAGCCACCCGGGGGGCTCCATGGGGCACCCAGGAGAACCTGCAGGAGATGGGACACCTGGAGAGCCCCGGGGCACCGGCGGGAGATGGGGCAGGCGGGGCGGGGGTCGCGCCCGGATTGGGGGGTCCCCACGGCAGGGAGCGCTGCGCTGGGGGGCTCTCACCGATTTGGGCTTCTTCTTGGGGGCGAGGTTGTCGTAGAAAGCTTTGGCTTCATCCCAGGGCCGCCCCGGCGGCTCCATGGCACCGGCGGTACCGGCGGCACCGGCGGCTCCGCTCCGTGCGCGTCCCGGGAGCTCCCGGAGCCGGGGCCGGTCTGGCGGAACGAGCTTTATATGGCATCCCATGAAGCTCCGGGCTTTCAGTCCACCGGGACACGCTTTAACCTCTTCGGGACCGAGCGCTGCCGGCCTCCACCGCAGCTCCCCGCCGGTGGGAGCGGGAGATGCGGGGAACGGAGGAGGGAGATCCCGCTGCGGGGAGAGATGGGGCAGCACCGGGCACCGGCAGCTCCTGCTCGCTCTGTGGTGTGGCCACCCTTGGGAGCTGCAGAGGATGGAGCAGGCAGGGGAGGACGGAGGTGTGGTGGGACCCTGCTCCGTGCCATCACTGATTAACGGAATGATTGCGGGTGTTAATTAAGGCTCGGCTCTCCCCGGAGTGCTGGCGGGAGCAGCCGCACGTTCAGCTCAGGTTAAAATTTCCACCGCCACCAGCAGACCCCCAGGAGCCCCTGGAGAGCAGCGGGTGCATCCCAGAGACCAAACCCAAGAGCCAGGAAAAGGGGCAAGGGGTGAAGGATCCCACCTAGAACAGGGTCACACAACAGGGTTTTACCCAAATCCCTGTGCTCCAGCTAAAGAAAAACCATCCCTACAGACGACAGCCTCGGGGACCTCCATGTGGTCCATGAGACCAATCCAACACCACCCCACCTGCACCGAGGTCCCACCAGGAGAGCAGAGCCAGCTGTGTGCTGCTGAGCTGTGGGGTGGCTCCAGGAATCCCAAACCCTTCAGGGATTCAGCATCATTTCAGCCTCACAGACTTTCCTTTCCCCGGGGCCTTTGCAGCTCCCTGCTGGGAAACACCTCAGCTTCCTTCGGGGCGGCCCCTGGAGAAGCAGGAGCTTGGAGGGATCACCAGGCTATTCTTGGAGTTCTCTCTTGAGCTTTTGAGTTGTTGCCCTTCCAGGCAGCAGCCCTGGCACGTCCCCAGCTCCCACAGGGTGGGACAAGCTGCCCCATTCCCTCTTTCCCAGGCGCTGCTGAGCTGCAAACTCACACGCACTCCTGGAAAGAGCAGCAGCCAGAGACGAGGTGCAGAGCTCTCCTAAAAATACACTCCCTGCCGTGGTTTTGGCAGCCTCCCATCCCCGTGCTCCGGTGCTGGCTGCTGCAGGACACACCGAGGGTTTGGGAATTGCAGGTGGGATGGGCCGAGCTGGGACTGGCAGCGCTGCCCAGGAGCCGGATTGATTCCAGAGAAGGATGAAAATTTGGTGAGAGCTCCTTAGCAACAGTCACTGTCTGTGCAGGCTGCTGAGGGAGAAAGGCCAGAGGAAAATCTGTGCAGGGAAGATGGGGGTGGAGAAAAGAAGGACAAAGATGCGCTGAGAGCAGGTCCCAGTTGAGCCCAGGACAAAGCCACCAGCCCTGAGGGAAGGGCACAGCCAGGGGCCAGCTCCTGGCTGACAAATGGAACCCATTTCCACAGAGGTTTGAGGTCTGGGCCTCCCCACCCCAAAAGTGACATTCTCTTCCCCAGAGCTGCCTGCACGAGCGAAGGGTTTCACTTCCACCCCTTTCAAGGTTCCCCATCCTGAGCCCCACTGTGCTGTCCCCGAGGGTTTCTCCACCCCTTGGGGTGTCACAGGCTCAGGTGAGACCCCTAAAATATTCTCAGAAGTGCAGTGATGTCACCTCATTGTCCCCAGCCAGCCACCCCCCAATAAACTATCCAGACGGGGACACCACACACGGGGGGACAGTTTATTTTTCCATTAAAAAAATAAGTGACGACTTCACCATCTCCTAACAGACACCACAGCCACCAACACCACAACGTGCAGACTAAACACCAGCCTGGGACAGGAGGGGTGATGCAGCAGGCTGGGAGGGGGGAGGAAGGAGATAGATTTGTTTCTTGTGGTCTCAGAGCTTTGCCAGGAGGCTCAGCAGGGACAGGACCCATCCACACCTCCCCACAGCCCCCATCCCGCACCCAGCTGTCCCCACAGCAGTGCCACACACCCAGGAGCAGCACCAGGACCTGCCTTCCACACCCACCCTCCTGACCCTGCCTCCAGCTGGGGATTGAAAGCCTCACCTCAACATCCAGGAGGGTCAGAAATGCCACAGAGCGCCCAGGGCAGCTGGGGACATCACCCACCTGCTGGGATGGGACACTGGCCACATCCTGGGCTGGCTTTGGACACTTCTGTTCTCTGCTAGAGTGTCCTGACCAAGCCTGGCTGTTCCCAGCAGGAAAAACAGAGGTGGAAGAGCTCAAGCTGGTGCAAAACCCCGCCCTGACCTCTCCAGGCAGCCTTCCAGGGGATTGCCAGTGAAGGAGGAACCAGGAGCAGGACTTGGGACTTTTCAGCCTCCCTGGAGACATCACAAGCCATGAAGTGGGGGGAAAGCAGCAGAAGGGGGACACAGTTGATCTCAGCGAGGATCAGGGAATGGGGCAAGCAGGGAGAAAGCAGCAGGGACGTGGGAGCAGCTGGCCCTGCTCAGCCAGGACACACCAGTGGCTGCAGGGCATCCATCCCCAGGGTGGGAGAGGGCTGGCAGCACTCAGAGCAGGCTCTGAGCTCGAGGGTGTGCAAGGTGGGCTGCCCAGGATGCAGCCAGAGCAGGGGCAGCAGGAGGAATGGAATGTGGCTCATGCCTGGGGCCAAATGGGGGAAAAAAACGGGGATTGAAACCAGCACAGGGGGCAGAGTTTGGCTGCAGCCAGTCCAGCCCTGGGTGGCAGGGCTCTATTTCTGCATGTCACACTGCAGGAGCAGGACGATGGAGGGGTCGCTCTTGGCGGCCTCCTTGAACTCCTCCAGGGAGATCTGGTCATCCTTGTCCTTGTCCATCTTTGTGAAGATCTTGTCCACTCGCTGCTGGGGTGTCAGCCCGTCTTGGTTCATCCTCATCATGATCACAGTCCCCACCATCTTGTAAATGGCCTGGAGGAGGAGGAGAGCGGGTGTGGGAATCCAGAGCTTCCCTCTGCCCTGGGACCCTGGCAGGGGTCAGAACCCCCCTGGACAGAGCCCCCAGAGACACTGGCTGTGATCTCTGGCCATGGAAAAGAGTTTTCAATCTCACAGGATGAATTACAAGCTCTGAGTGTTTGATATAAGTAATAATTAAGTGTGGCACGGGTGAAAAAGTAAAATTTTAGGATTCTAGATTAGGGGTGCAAAGGGGACAAGATGGAGGGAATTGGGTGTGCCTTGTCCTTTTTCTCCTTCTTCATGCCCTCCATGTTTCACTGTGGTGTTGGCATTTTTCTGTTGGTTCAGGCTGGGGACACACTGTCCAACGTAGGTGACAGATATTGGCACGTTATTGTAAATCCAGCACAGGTAGTTTGTGGTATTTAATGTTTGTACCATCCCACTGAGGGCAGAGCCCCACACGCTGCCCTGCAGGACAGAGCTGCGGCAGGGCAGCAGAACATGTTAGAGATAAACAGAATAAACAACCTTGAAACAGCACAGACCAATTATGGCTTCTGCTTTGGCAGCGGGGCTGAAAGACAGAGACTTTTACAATCTTGGAATCATCAATACCACAGATTCCAACAAGTGGGAATGAGAGGGAATGTTGGAAGGACACAAGATCCCAGGGCAAGGCAGGGGACAGGGACAGGATTGCTGCTCTGTTGGGACCCTGTTCTACCAGATCCACATCAAGCACCCTTCAGACAACGCTCTGGGTAGGAAAACCAATTCTTTGGTGCTAAAAGAGACCCAATATGTGTGAAAAGCCTGGAAAAAGCAAACAGCTCCTGCTGGTTTGGAGCACAGGTACCTCAATGATCTCCAGCATCTCCAGGCGCGTGATCTTCCCGTCGCCGTCCAGGTCGTACATCTCGAAGGCCCAGTTGAGTTTCTGCTCAAAGGTGCCCCTGGAGGTGACAGACAGGGCACAGATGAACTCCCTGAAGTCGATGGTGCCGTCCCCGTTCTTGTCGAAGGTGCGGAAGGCGTGCTGGGCAAACTTGGAGGCGTCGCCGTAGGGGAAAAACTGCGGGAAGGAGAGAAGAGGAATTGAAATGAGGAGGGGGAACTCGGCATGGAGGCTGCAGCTGAAGTGCTCCAGCCCCCCAGGCAGCACTCGGACCCCCGGCTGGAGCCCACCTTGATGTAAAGCTGCTGGAACTCCTCCAGGTTGAGGATGCCGGTGGGGCAGTCCTTGAGGAAGCCCTTGTACCACTGCTTCAGCTCCTGCTCGCTGAACTCCGTGCTCCTCACCAGGTCATCCAGCATCTCCGGGGCCAGCTTGCTGCTGTGCTTGCCCATGGCTGCCCCTGGGAAGGGAGATCCCCACCAGGCTGGAGAGGGATGCTCCTCCCAGGCCGTCCTCCACCCCAGCTGATCCCACATCCCTCTCCTCCTGCTGGAGCTGGTCTGCCTGACTGCTGGGTGTCCATGCAGGACAGCAGCTGTGGCACTGGGAATGTGGCTGTGGCCTTTGCTGCTGTGTGGGAATCCAGGGCATCCCTCTGGCTGCCCTGGCAGGGGTCAGGAGCCCCCCTGGACAGAGCCCCCAGAGACACTGGCTGTGATCTCTGTCCATGGAAAAGAGTTTTCAATCTTACAGGACAAATTACCAGCTCTGAGGGTTTGATATAAGTAATAATTAAGTGTGGCATGGGTGCAAAAGTAAAATTTTAGGATTCTAGATTAGGGGTGCAAAGGGGACAAGATGGAGGAAATTGGGTGTGCCTTGTCCTTTTTCTCCTTCTTCATGCCCTCCATGTTTCACTGTGGTGTTGGCATTTTTCTGTTGGTTCAGGCTGGGGACACACTGTCCAACGTAGGTGACAGATATTGGCACGTTATTGTAAATCCAGCACAGGTAGTTTGTGGTATTTAATGTTTGTACCATCCCACTGAGGGCAGAGCCCCACACGCTGCCCTGCAGGACAGAGCTGCGGCAGGGCAGCAGAACATGGTAGAGATAAACAGAATAAACAACCTTGAAACAGCACAGACCAATTATGGCTTCTGCTTTGGCAGCGGGGCTGACAGACAGAGACTTTCTACAATCTCGGGATCATCAATACCCACAGATTCCGACACTGCTGGAGGTGTCCAGGAGCTGGTCCTGGGGCAGCCCACCAGCAGCATCACCCCATCCCCTGGGCTCGTTTTGGGCTGCAGGAAAACACTCAAAAAGCAACTGAAAATTCAGAACTCTTCCCATGGCCTTTGCCAGAGCATGATCATAGAATCCTAGAGTGGTTTGGGCTGGAAAGGAACTCACTCAGCTCAGCCACACTGCCGTGGGCAGGAGCACCTTTCACCAGCCCTTCTCTAAGGATGGGGCAGTGAAGAATCTGCCATTAGGGCACATGAAAACCTCCCTGGCACCACCGGCCTGGCACCACCCAGCGGGGATGGGCATCCCACCCCTCGGTGGGGACAGGGTCTGGCCAGGGGGTGCAGCAGCAGCAGCAGCAGCAGCAGGGAGCCCTGGCAGGGCCCTGGCAGTGTGGGCAGGGAGCAGAGCTGCTGAGATACGCGCCGTGCCCGCTCCCACGCAGCCCTGGAGCAGCAGATGGTTCTCCAGGAGCTCCTGGAGCTTCTCGCTCCATGAAGTTGAGGAGAAGTTCACCTGGAGCCCGACCAACACCATCTCCCCCCCTCAGGGGTCTCATGGCCGTGTGGGCTTGGGGCACACGGGGGGACCCTGGGGTGGGGGATGTGGGGTTCCCTGTGCTCCCAGCAGATCCCACAGGCAGCAGCTCCTTCCTGCCCCATCATCCCACCAGCATCTGCCACCGTCTGCTGCAGCAGCACCGAACCCACAGCCCTCGGCAGCCCAGGGAATGTCCAGACACCCACAGAGCACGAGGCGTCCCCAGCGAGCCCAGCTCGGCTCCACCAGCCCCCCAGCACCACGGTGGGGCTCTAAACTGCTGGCATTGATCACAAACCATGCCAGGCACCCCGCATGGGCAGACCTGAGTGATCCAAGTGCTCCCACAGCAGGAGGATGCAGCCCCTCAGCACAGCTCAGCCCTCAGTGGTTGGGACACCAGAGCAGCATCCTGCAGCCCACAGCCCTGGATTCCCTTTTCCAAGGGGTGCACAGCCATGCCAGGGCAGGGAGAAACATGCCAATTGATCCCAAAACCCCAGCCATGCCAGGGCAGGGAACCATGCACTGATTGATCCCAAAACCCCAGCCATGGCCACACGCCGATTGATCCCACCGATTGATCCCAAAACCCCAGCCATGCCAGGTCAGGGAACCACATGCCAATTGATCCCAAAACCATGCCAGGGCAGGGAGCCACACACCTATTGATCCCAAAACCCCAGCCATGCCAGGGCAGGGAACCACATGACAATTGATCCCAAAACCCCAGCCATGCCAGGGCAGGGAACCACAAACTGATCGATCCCAAAACCATGCCAGGGCAGGGAGCCACAAACTGATCGATCCCAAAACCCCAGCCATGGCCACACACCGATTGATCCCACCAATTGATCCCAAAACCCCAGCCATGCCAGGGCAGGGAGCCACACATCAATTGATCCCAAAACCCCAGCCATGCCAGGGCAGGGAACCACACATCAATTGATCCCAAACCCCCAGCCATGGCCACACGCCGATTGATCCCACTGATTGATCCCAAAACCCCAGCCATGCCAGGGCAGGGAGCCACACACTGATTGATCCCAAAACCCCAGCCATGCCAGGGCAGGGAGCCACACACCGCTTGATCCCACCAATTGATCCCAAAACCCGACAGAGGGGTGGCACTACCAGCGTCCCCCCAGCTGCACCCCAGCCTGGAGCAGCACCCCTGGATGGCACCCCAGGGAGCGGGGCCGGGCCCGGGGGATGGGTGGGGGCTCGGGGATGCTCTGCCCACCCGCACTACGGGATAGCACCGGGACAGCGGCCCCGGTACCCGCGGGATGCGGCTCCCGGGAGCGGCTCCGGCACCTGCCCCGACGGCGGCTCCGCACCGGGGGGAGGCGGCTCCCGGTCCCGACGCCCCTTACCTGCGGTGCGGCGGCGGCTCGGCGGGGCCGGGCGGGGCGCGGAGCCGCTGCCGGTACCGGAGGGGCCGCGGTCCAGCCCCCGCCGCTCCCGCCCCTCTTGTAGCCGCGGGCCCCCCGCCCCCCCGCTCGTGCATTGGCTGGGAGAGCTGTCAGTCAGGCGGGGTGGGGGTCGCGGTGGGATGCTGGGGGGTACTGGGGGTGCTGGGATGGGAAATGGGGCCGGGCTGCTGGCACCGGGGTGTAGGGGGTGCTGGCAGTGGGATGCTGGAGGTGCCGGCCCCGCCCTGCCTGCACTGGGGACATTGGGACACGCCAGTGGCTCTCTGCGTGGCACAGGCACGGCTGAAGCACAGAGGAGAGAGGGATCAGAAAGCCACTTTGATCTCCAGAACCAAAGGTGGAATGTTTCCATGGAGATCGCCGAGCGCTTTTCCCGGTGACCTTGGCATCCTGCTGTGATCCCAGTGCCACCGGGCCCGTCCTGAACTGCCCCTCTGCATCCGGGGGCCACTGAGCCTGGATGAAGTTTCCAGCCTGCCTGGGCTGCTCCCCATCCCATCCCATCCCGTCCCGTCCCGTCCCGTCCCGTCCCGTCCCGTCCCGTCCCGTCCCGTCCCATCCCATCCCATCCCATCCCATCCCCATCCCATCCCATCCCATCCCATCCCATCCCATCCCATCCCATCCCATCCCCATCCCCATCCCCATCCCCATCCCCATCCCCATCCCCATCCCCATCCCCATCCCCATCCCCATCCCCATCCCCATCCCCATCCCCATCCCCATCCCCATCCCCATCCCCATCCCCATCCCCATCCCCATCCCCATCCCCATCCCATCCCATCCCAATCTCTGCAAACCGCCCGTGCCCGGGGTGCTCAGGGGGACTGAAAAATTAATGAGAGCTTAATTGAAGCAGCGCAGGCTGCCAGGGCTGAGACCGACCCGGCTCAGCTCAGGGGAAGGGGGAGCCGAAGGGGTTTTGGGGCTGCTGGAAGAGGCACGGGAGCCCCAGGGGACAGAGATGTCCTTGGGATGAGGATCGGGGCGACTCTGTGCTCCTGGGATTTCCCTTCTGGGGGCTGTGACACCCCAAGTGTCACATCTGGGATGATGCCTGGGGGTCATGCAGGGCCGACCTGCACCCAGACAGGGGCGCCCCAAAACCTGTATGAGCCCCCCAACACCCCACCACCACCACCAGAGCTGCCAGATCCCTGCAAACCTCCGTGTCCAGCGGCTGCAAGGGATGCAAAGGGCTGCAGCTTCCCCCAGCGGCTGCGGGCGGCAGCAGCACGGCCCGGGGGGGCTGTGCCCGATGGGGGCGACCCCACAGCCCCCTCTGCCTCGGGGGGTTTGGGGAGCAGCAGTCACGGCTGCTTATCCCAGAATCCCGACAGTTCCTGTCCCTCTGCGCGGCCAGGTCACCCAGCGGTGACACTGTCGGGGCGCTGGTGGCTCTGCCAGCCCCTCTGAGACCCTGTAAAGGGGTGAGGAGCTGTTGTCACCCACCCCGTGTCCCTTAGGGACAGCTCTGGGTGCCACTGGGCAAGCTGGACATGGGCTCACCCTAAAACTGCTGGTCCCTTTTGTTGTCCCCACTGTCGTGGGAGAATCGGGGGTAGAAAAGCAGAAATAGCCCAAATTTGGGGTTCCTTTCCTCCTACATCACCCCTGAGGGAGCAGCTCCGGGCTGGTTTGTGCCACCCAAACCCCTTCTGCCCCGTGCTGGGGGAGCTGATGGGGCACAGAGGGACCTGCCTGCCCAAAACGGGGGTCCCGGCACGGGGCTCTGCCGTGTCCCCGCTGCGGTGGCACCAGGCGGGGTCGGTGCTTGTCCCCCTCCCCCGAGAGGGCACCGGGGGCAGCGGTGCCACCCACGGGCCGGGACAGCAGCAAAGGAACATCTGCGTTTTCCCCTCGCCCTGCTGGCAGCTGGGGCTGCTCTGACGGTGGCGGGGCGACCCTCTCGATGTCCCCGCGTGTCCCCAAACCCAGGGAGCGGCAGGCGGAGCTGTCTCGCCGCCAGGCCGCAGAGCTGTACCGGACCGGCACGCAGGGGGTTAAGCATCCCCGTCTCGCTCACACTTGAGACGTCACCGTCACCAGTGGCGTGGGGGGGCCGGGGGGCTATGGTGGTCTTTGTGGTGCATTCGGCAGCTGGCGCAGGCTCGGCCCCGCACCCCACGCTCGCCGCCATCCGCAGCATCCCGAGCGCCGCCTGCCCACGCCGCGGGCTCCCACCGCCACGGTGAGCGTGGGGACAGGGCTGCCACCGCACCGGGCCTGCCGGCAGGGCGAGCTGTCCCCCGGGACCCCGCCGCCAGCCGCCCCTCTCTCTCTCTCTCCCCGGCTGGGTGCTGCTGGGGTGGGGTGGGTGATGCTGGGGTGGGTTCGCCCCACTCGGGGCTGCTGCACCACCCGGGTGGGTGCCCACCCGCGCCGGTGGGGTGCTGCGGATCGGCTCCTGCGGTAAATCCGCCTGCTCAGCCGCAGCCGCAACCGCAGCCAGGCACGGGAGAGACCCCCGCACCCCCCAGCCCCACTCGAGGGGGGCTCAGCCCCATGGGGGGCTCGCACATCCCTCCGGCCAGGGGAGGGGGGGAGGGGATCAACGCGCCGAGACCCCCCAACTCCACCCTGCTGAGGGCTGGGGGTGCCCCGGCTGATCCTGGCGTGGGATCTGGCCCCGGTACCCCAATTCCCGGGATAAGCTGTGCCCCCCATGGAAAATCCTTCGGGCACCGCACGCCCGACCCTGCGGCGGCTGCGGCCACGGGCGGGGGGCACCCGGTGGGCACCCGGTGGGCACCCGGTGGGCACCCGGCGGGCGGGGGGCTGCGGGGAGCGGTGCCAGGTCAGGGGGAAGGGACAGGCAGCCCCCGGCCGGAGCCGCGGCGCTGCACCAGGCTGCGGTGCCCCGGGCGATGCTGCGCCGGCAGCGAAAGGGGCACAGCCCCAAAATGGGGACACGGGGTGGCCGGAGCCCGGGGACATCGCTGCCCCTCCGGCTGGCGGGAGGGATGCTCCTGGGTGCGGGATTTGGTTCTGCCTGGAGCAGGAGTGGGGCTTCACCCCATCGGCTGGGTTGTCCCCATGGAGGTGACACCCGCCGTGGGTCCCCATGGGGCAGGATGCTCGTGGGGTGCAGGGAGAGGGGCAGGGTCTGGAGCAGGGCTGAGGTGCAACGAGGCCACCGCAGAGAGGGACAGAGCCCGGGGCCACCTCGGGTGTGGCCGGGGACAGGGAGCCCGCTGTTCCCAGCGCTGCTGTGGCAGCACGTTCCTGTCAGCGCTGCCGGTTTGGGGGTGACTCTCCCAGCGGATTTGGGGTGCACAGTTCCCCCAGCTCAGCAGCGGGCAGCCTGCACTGGGGGGAGCCCCTCGCCCTCCCCCACAGCCCCCCTGGGAGGGATGTGCTGTGTCCCCCCGGGCCAGGTGCCACCGGGGGGTTTGAGCAGCTGGGACCAAGGAAAAGGCGTAAAACAGGGGCTGAACCCCAAGCAGAGCCACTCCCCAGCCCAAGGAGCTGCAGCAGTCCCCAAACCCCTGCACCACGGCTCTGGAGGCACCCCGGGGTGTCCTCACCCTGGGAACCCACCCGTGCCCCTTCCCTGGGCGCAGGCAGAGTTCGGCAGTGACAAATGCCAGCCCCACGCTGCCCGTCAAGGACAGCAGTGGCACAGACACAAGGATGCCCACACCCTTGTCACAGCCTGTGTGCCAGCGGCAGAGCAGAGCAGGTGCCAATCTCCCACCCCACCGACTTCCCCGGCACCCCAGGGACCCTCCCAGCACCCCAGGGACCCCCCCAGCACCCCAGGGACCCTCCCAGCACCCCAGGGACCCTCCCCGCACCCCAGGGACCCCCCCAGCACACCAGGGACCCCCCTCCCATCACCCTTTCAAACCACCCCAGTGCTCAGCAGGATGAACCTCGGGCTCACTGCAGCACAGCAGCTCTGAGTGTGTTTGGGGTGCCCCGGATACCCCAAAAACCAGCTGCTTTTTGGGCTCGTGCAGCCCCAGTGCAAAGCCACCACTTAGTGTCCCCGGGAGGAGGAAGAGGAGGAAGGCAGAGCCACCACTCTTGATGCCAAGGGTCTGTGCTGGGGCTGAGTGGGAGCTCTGGGCTAGGGGGGGGTCACAACCCCATTCCAGGCATGAAGCTGCCCCATCCCTCCCCTGCTGCTCCAGCTCTCCCTCTCCCCTTCCCCAGCCTCATTAATTAAATCCAACCGCTTAATTACAACCTGCTGATCCCGCGGCTGTTTCCCGCTGCCTGCTGACACCGTGGGGCCATTCCCGACCCCCCCATCCCAGTAGGAAAGGTGGGGTGCAGGAACTGGGGGAGCATCCCCTTGCCTGCAGGATTTGGGTTGTGGCTCATCGGCGGCGTAAAGGGATCTTCACACAGCGCTCAGGAAAGAGCAAAACCCAACCAGTGGAGCTGGGAAAGTCACCCCTGGGGATCTTGGCCTCTCCAAGGAGAGATGGCTCCACTTTGGGGTTCTCCCCGAGCTGCAGCAGGTCCCACAAGGGGTGAAGAGGGACGGGGTGCCCGCTGAGCTCCCGGTGGCAGTAAAAAATACCCAAAATAAATAAGGTGAAGGTTGGGGGCAGCATGAGATGGAGGGGAGATCCAGTGTCCCACCGCGCTTCCCCTCCTGGTCACCCACCCATGGGACCCCAGGGCAGGGTCAGTGGGTGCCCTGACCCTCTTGCCCTCCTGCCCACAGGTCCCTGCCGGCCCATGAAGTGACGCAGGCGGGTGGCACAGCCCCTGCTCCTGCCGTAGCCACCGCTGCCACACCAGGCACTGAGGTAAGACCCGAGGGCACGGCCCTGGGGGGGGTGGGATGCTCTGCTGCAGCCACCAGACCCCCAAATCGGGCCTGTGGGGCACAATTCCCACTTGGGGTCTTCCCCTGTCCATGGGGGATGCCCAGCCCCATAACCCAGGGGATGGCATGACACCTTGGGGGTCACCTGGGGCTGCCCCCCATCCCTTGTGGATGCCAGGCTTGGGGAACTGGGGTGTCTCAGGGGTGGCAGCCTGGCCAGGGGTGCCCCAGGAGCACAAGGCTCCCAGACCCTCAGCCCTCCTCCCTTCCCACCTCTGGAACTGGCAGAAGTGCTGGGAGAGCTGTCACATCCCAGGGAATGCTCACAGCCAGGGGGGATCGGGGTGGGCACAGGGAGGTGGCCCTTGGGGGTGCCAGGGTGCCTGGCTGGTGGCACCGGTGCTGTTCCACTCTGTTCTGTTTCTCTCGCTCAGGTCTGCTGGCCATGGGCAACCTGATAAAGGTACTGGGCAAAGATTTAGAAAACTGTCCTCATTTTTTCCTGGATTTTGAAAGTAAGTCCCATGAGCAGGGTGGGCATGGGGAGGGCACCAGTGCTGCCACCGCAGCTGCTGTCCAGAGGATGGGGACAGGCACAGTGTCCCCAAGCAGCCCCGTGTCCCCAACTGACCGAGAAAGTCTCCAAAACGGGGCAGGGGACCCCAGGAAATGCCCCGTCCCTCAAAGAGTGGGGCAGATGTCCTGGCAGAGTGGTGGGATGCAGGGTGCAGCAGGACCTGGCCCGGGCCCACCTCAGGGCTGTTTCTGATGGCCCTGGTGGCCGTGTGGTGACACCGCCAGGGCAGGGACAGCCTGCAGGCCGGGCAAGGAGGAGGGAATGAATGATCCGTGCCACCTGCACTGCTGGGAAGGTCAGTGCCCCGCGGGATGGGGAGCAGGGACCTGCCTCAGCCTCCCATGGATCTGGGCCAGGAGAGGACAGCTCTCGGCCCCTCAGGCTGGACACGGGGGGTGCAGGACACGGTGGCCACGGTGGCAGATGCCAGGCCGGGCACAGCCCCAGGGCTCCCCTGGCTCCCCCTCCTGCCATCCCTCCGGGGCACAGCTCAGAGCAGGAGAGAGGAGGGTGAAAAGAGAGCAGCGGCATCTGCTCACTCCAGCTCCATCCCCAGCGGGGACAGGCCGTGCACAGCTCCCCACGCCACCTCGGACTCCGGGACCCCCCAAAAAACCCAGGGCTGGGGTCACACAGCCCCCCACTCCCACGGCGAGGGACCTTCCTGCTCCTCCTGGCTCCTTGGAGGCGGCACAAACTTCTCCTGCCCCCAGTCCCCTCCAGAGCCCCCTGGCACAGTTCTGGGGGTTCCCCAGGACCCCTCATTTCGGGGCTGGCTCTGCACTAGAGTAGGGGCTTGGCTGTCGCCGAGACTCCGGGGACTTCAGGGACTTCCCGGCGGCTTCTCCTCCCTCCACTCCTCCCTCTCCATCACCCCATCCGCCAGCGCTCATCACCATCGGGGGGGAAGGGGCTGCGCCGGGGCCGGAGCGGCCGCGGGGTGACCCCCGGAGCCCCCCGAGCCCCCGGGGAGCCCCCAGCACCCCTTCCCCGGGCTCCACCTCACCACCATGCTTTTTTCCTCTTGTTTCTTCTCTTGCAGGTTTCACATGGGGAACCTTCTAAAAGTGTTGACTTATAACGAACTTGACCAAGGCCCTAATTTTTTCCTTGACTTTGAAAGTGAGATGGGATTTTTATTTTCCGTTTTTGTTCCGTACTTATCCTGAGTTCCACATCCACACCATTTTGAGTTCTTTGTCCCCCCCCACCCCGTCGCCCATCGCATCGCGCCCATCCCAGACGTCCTCCCCGCACCTTTGCCATCCGGGGGTGTCCCCGGGGAGGGGGGCCAGACCCGTGGCCGGGGCTGTCGCTCCGCACCTCTCCCCCGGGGCACTCGGGGCGAGCAGGACCGCGGGCACAGGGCAAACAGGACTCACCCCCAGCCGCCCCCCGCTGCACGGCTTGACTTGAGCTGGGGCAAGGAGAACGGAGCAGGGGGACAACCCGGCCAGGAAGGGCTGCGGGCCGGCGGGGGAGCCGTGCCGGGGGGTGCTGGCACCCCGCTCCGGCTCTGGCCGCCCCGGACCCCGCTCAGAACCCTCCGGGTTTCTCTCCCCGGGGCGCTGCCCTGCAGATGCGCAGCCCACCGAGGCGGAGACGGCGGTGTGGAACCAGGTGAACGCCGTGCTGGAGGAGGCTCAGACCGTGCTGGCCGAGCTGCAGTCCTACACGGGCGCCGGGCAGGAGATCCGAGAGGTGGGTGCAGCCCCGGTGCCCTCTGCCCGCACACCCTCCGTGCCTTGGGGCAAGCGCTGGTGCTCTCCCCTCCCAGGCCATCCAAAACCCCGCGGACCTGCGGCTGCAGGAGCGCGCCTGGAGCGCTGTGTGCCCCCTGGTCGCCAAGCTGAAACGCTTCTACGAGTTCTCCCTGCGGCTGGGTGAGTGCCCGAGCTGCCCTGCATCCCCTCCGTGCGTCCCGCATCCCCCCGGCCCGGAGGTTGCGGGAGTCCCGGCCGTGGAACGTGTGCTCCGCTCGGGATGCTGCGCTCTGCCTCAGTTTCCCCTCGGGGCTTTGGAGGGGTAGAGGGGGACGCGGAGTGCTCTGTCCCCAGAGAACGCCCTGCGGAGCCTGCTGGAGGCCCTCACCAGCCCCCCCTACGCCCCCACCCAGCACCTGGAGCGGGAGCAAGCCCTGGCCAAGCAGTTCGCCGAGATCCTGCACTTCACCCTCAGCTTCGATGAGCTCAAGGTGCCTCCCCTGGGAGGGGTGACAGCGAGGGGGGGTCCCCACACCGGGACTCTGCCTAAGCTGTGAGCCAGCAGAGTCCCCTGGGACCCCTAACCCCGGTGTCCCCCCTCAGATGACCAACCCTGCCATCCAGAACGACTTCAGCTACTACAGACGGACCATCAGCCGGAATCGCATCAACAACCTGCAGGTGGGAGGACTCTGCTGCTCCCCCGGCCAGGGGTGGCCTTCCCCAGGGGTTCACAGGGCTGGGAAGGGCTTGGGGGGGCTCAGCCACCTCGGTGACCCCCATCACACCCCCCAGCTGGATGCAGAGAGCGAGGTGAACAACGAGATGGCCAACAGGATGTCCCTGTTCTACGCCGAGGCCACCCCCATGCTGAAAACACTCAGCAATGCCACCACCAAGTTCGTTTCGGAGGTGAGGGGGGCTGAGGAGACCCTCAGGGTGGGCAGAAACTCCCTGCAGCCACCACAGGTGGGGGAAACAGCAGCTGGGACCTGTTGGGTTTCAGAACAAGACCCTCCCGATCGAGGACACGACCGACTGCCTGAGCACCATGGCCTGCGTGTGCAGGGTGATGCTGGAGACCCCGTGAGTGCTCCACTTGGGGCTTTGGGGGGACATCTCGGTCCTGGGGTCCCTCTGCCACCCCGCCCAGGCTCAGGCAGCCTCTCCCCTGGTGCAGGGAGTACCGGAGCCGCTTCACCAACACCGAGACCCTGCTCTTCTGCATGAGGGTGATGGTCGGCGTCATCATCCTCTACGACCACGTCCACCCCGTGGGGGCCTTCGCCAAGACCTCCAAGATCGATGTGAGTGGTCTTGGGGTCACAGCTGTGGGGTCACAGCTGTGGGGTCACAGCTGTGGGGTCACAGCCGTGCCACTCACCCCAGTGGCCGCGATCCCCGGGGTCGCTCTCCCTGGCTTGAGCAGCGAGGAGGAGGAGGATGGGGAGGAAGGGGGATCTCGGGGATCTCATAGCCTTTCTCTCTGCCCCCATCAGATGAAAGGCTGCATCAAAGTCTTGAAAGACCAACCCTCAACCAGCACCGAGGGGCTCCTGAACGCTCTGAGGTGAGCCGGGGGTTGGGGACACAGCGGGGAGGTGGCTGTCACACCGGAGCGCTGTGACCTGTGTCCCCTCCCCGTTCAGGTACACCACTCGGCACCTCCACGATGACACCACGTCCAAACAGATCCGGGCCCTGCTGCAGTGAGCGCGGGGCGGCCGCCGCAGCCGCACGTCACCGTGTCACCGTGTCACCGACGCCCATGACCATACAGCTCATTTTGTACCGAGGGAAAAGGGACAGCGAGGAACACGCAGAAATGTTGAAAGCAAATCCCCCGCCACGAGCTCCTGCCCCCCCTTCCCACTCCCAAATCAGCGCCCGCTCCTGGACACGGGGTGTGGGTGGCACCGTGGGGACACCGCGCCGGGGGGATGGGGCCGGGCAGGAGAGACCCGGGCAAGGGAAGTGCTGGTGGGGCTGGCAGCAGGGTGCCCGTGGCACGGGGGCACCTTGGGGAGCGGGCAGGTGGTGCCCCTGGTCCCCATCCTGCTCCCCAAGCAGAGGAGGAGGGAGAGGAGGAGGAGGAGGAGGAGAAGGATGAAGTATCCCTGTGGATCTGCACTGACTCTGGAGGAAACGGCTCAGTCTCACCTGGTAGATTTTTAATATGAGAAATTAAATCCACACTCACCTCTTCTTTTCTACATTTTTTTTTTGGGGGGTGTGAAATAAAATGACATTTAATCTGTTCCTGGCCGGAGCGGGGCCGTCTGTGCTGTGTCCCAACCCAGCCCGCCTCAGGGACCGTGTCCCCTCTCTGTGACACCTGCGGGACAAATCCCACCTCCCACAGTGCCAACAGCCCCGGTGCCCCCCGAGTTAGCCCAGCCGGGACCTTGGGAGGATGGGGCTGCCCGAGGCTGCTGTTGGCTGCCAGGGCCGGTGCCTTTGCCGGCAGATGGCCCTGTGACACCGCGACAGCGCAGCCACCCGTGCCAAGCCGGCCCCACCCGTGCCAAGCCCCGGGATTTGGGGCGCTGCCAGCCCGCTCCTCCCGCCGCCTTTCCCGCCGGGCACCGTGCCCCCCTCTGCCCTGCCCGTGCGGGGGGGTGACAATGGACACCCCACGGGTGACACCACAGACCCAGAGCCTCGTGCAAGGTGGCTCTGCCTCAGTTTCCCCACTGCGTGTGCCGGGGGGCACACGGGCAGTGCCCCCATTCAACCCTCGGGGTGCCACCATGGGGACACCCAGCCCATGTCCCCAAACCTCCACGGAGCCCTTCCCCAGACCCAGGGCTGCCCAGAGGGGACAGAGACAGGGGTGGGGACACAGACAGGGGTGGGGACAGCCCCCAGCCCTCTGGATCCCGGCATTTCCCGGTGCCCGCCAGGCTCCCGCCGTGCCCGGCCGGGTTTGCCGCCCGATCGGGACGGGCCCGCGCTCTTGCACAACCCCGGCCAACAGCTCCTTTTATTTTTAGGGCTCTTGCGACATTTGGCTTTGCCACAGCCACCTGAAGTGCTGCCAAAGCATCGGGCGGGCCGCGGGCTCCCCAGCGCTCCACGCCCCAGCCGTGCCTCAGTTTCCCCGTGAGTTCTTTCCACCCGCTGGCGCTGGGATGGCAGCGGTGCCAGTCAGCCCTGCTGAGCCCGAATGGACCCCGAGGGTCCCGTTAAATCCCCCCGGTGCTCCGCCCGGGAGCTGAGGATGGGCCGGGACAGGCTCGGTGCGGTGGCTGCAGGAGCTGGTGGCCCCGGGTGACACCGTCCCCCAGCCGGTCCCTCAGTGTGGGAACTGGGCTGGGAAGAGGCAGGACAGCGTCACCAGCCGGGACTCTCCAACAGGAGCCAGGGGACAGCAGGATCCTTTAAAGCCACCAGCGAGCACGGGGACAGACACCAGCTGGTCACCGGTGCTGGGAGAGGTGGCAGCTGTGTCCCCATGCCCCAGCACCGGTCGGGTCCTGGCACAGAGCCCGTAACATCCCCCCTGTGGTGCTTGTGAGGGCAGGAATGAGGCCGAATTCGTGCCACATGCCAGCTCTGGCTGTCCCCACCGTGGCACTTTTCAGGGCACATGCCACCCTGGCAAAGGGCAGCAGTGCATGGGTGAGGCTTTTCCTGTGGGAGCGTTTTAGAGACAAAACCGGGTGAGAAAAAGGAACTAAAAGGGATGTACAACACCTTGATCATCACGGATACATAAGCTGAGAGCTCTGGGGACAGTGCCACCCGTGCAGAGCCCTGGCAGGGGATGCAGATGAGGAGGTGCTGCCCGGGCACCTCCCGCTGCTGGGCATGAGGATTTGGGCTGCCACGGTGCCGGGGGGACCCCTGAATCTGTGTCTGTCCCCTGCCCGGGGACAGGCGGTGCCACCGGGATGGTGCCCGGTCAGCCAGGGCACGGAGCTGCCCCGGCTCTCTGCTCCATGCTCAGGGTGCCCAGGATTTTACCTGATGGCGAGCCAAGCCACGCCGGGCCTGTTTTCTAATCCCAGTGTAATTAATGACCTTATCTTTGGCCAAAGCCATTTAGATTAAGTGGCTGGTGTGATGGGCTCGCCGGCTCCGGCTGCACAGATGGAAGAGCCGCGTTTGTCTGGGGATTAGCGGAGGGCAGATGGAGCCAAGTGCCATTCCCCATCCCCAAACCGGCCGGCACTGACAGCAGCCTGAAACCTGAGACCACAACAACTTTCTCAGCGAGCCCTGCCTGGGACTGGCAGCGATTCCTGCGTTGTTTGTCCCTTCTGCAGGGCCCAGAGCACCAGGAACTGGTGTGACCCTGCCAGGAGCTCGATGCCAGTCCCTGCCTGGAGACCTCAAACAGCAGAGGTACAACACACCGAGAGTGACCAGCCTTGGAGAGCAACCCCTGGCAGGAACGCTGCCCTGGCTCTTCTCAAATAATCTGTTCTTGGTGGCAGCCCCCAGCTCTCCAAAGAAAACCCACCTGTATCGTGGTGCTGACAGCATCAGGGCATGTGTCCTCCCTCCACTGCATGGACAAGGAGTGTGGCACTCCCTGTTCACACCTGGGAAGCAAGGGGGAAAAGGCCTGGGAGCCCCTGCCCAGCACAGCCCATCCCCAGCTCCTGGAGAGAACACTGTGGAACAGGAATAACATGAGTCCATGCGGATAACAAAGTTCATATTAAACCGATTAAGGATATTTAATCCACCTCTAACAGTATGGACATCTGACTGCACTCAGGAGCCCGAGCAGATAATCCCAGCCCTCCTTCCCAGTGCTGCCCCAGTGATCCCAGCCTGGCCTGGGGAATGACTCGACATCTCAGCGCTGTCACCAACCAGCTCAGCACGTGGGGCTTCACTCCCAGCTCGTACTTGGTCCATCCAGGCTGGGAGAACACAATTCCACAGCCTCCAGCACTGGGCTGAGCCCACATCCATGGGTTGAGTCAGCATGGATGGCAAACAAGTCTGGGCTGGAGAAGAGGCTCAGCTGGCACTGCACAGACCCAGCAGCACCGCAGTGCCCGGCATTCCAAAGCTGGCACCCAGCTCTGCCCTGCACATTCCCTTCAGTCCGAGCTCCCAACCCCATCACACGGCCTGAGGCAGCCGCCCCACAGGAATAATTCCACAGTGAGGAACACAAACCGGAGGTTTGATCTAATCCCCACCAAAGCAGGAATCTCCAGAGCCCGCGCCAGCAAATCCACCCACGCAGCTCTTCCCTGGCAGGATGAGCCCTGGCTCTGCCACATGGCACAGCACAAGGCAAAACTTGTGCCCTACCAACCCTCAAACCCTCCCAGGTCTGCACTTGCCAGGAGAATCCCAAAGGGCCTGGAAAGGCTGTCCTGGTTTCACCAGAGCGGCATTCTAGGCACAAACGGCACTCACATCCTGCAGGAACAACAATGGGACACCAACTGCCTGGCGGACACAGCACCAGGAATTTGCTGCTCAGTAGCTCGGATTCAAATTCGGGGCCAGTTCCCAGTGCCAAACCACAGGGTAACCCCCCCGGGAATTCTGCCTTAACTAGGACAGGCTCATCTGTTGCAAACTCGATGAGATCATTTCCAAGTTCCTGTTTAACAGGTGCCAGCTCCTCCTGCACCTGCTGTGTGCACAGGGCTCCCTGCCCCCACCAGGCTGGGAACATCTGCTCAGCTCCCTCAGGAGCTGTGGAAAAGGTGACTGGGAGAAGGAACCAGATCTCCTGCCCTGTGCCCAGAGCAGGGAACCGGGGCCAGGTAGAATCAGAGAGCAAGGAAACCGCGCTTGTTAACAGGGAGGGGAACCCACAATAATCCTGCAACTTTATTTGCATGTAAAAGAACAAAAAAAAAAATATCCTCTCCACAATAAAGGCAGGCAGAGCTCGCTCGGCTCCGGAGCTCCGCTCCCGGCCAGGCTGGAGGAGTCGGGGTATTTCTGTCTCTGAGATCTACACAACCACATAGCAGCAGCTCAGCCATTCCAAGGATGCAGCTCTGGCAGGAATTCACATTTTGCATGGGAGAAGCTCCCAGCAGCCTTGCCCCGGGGCCCAGCCCGTTCCAGGGGGGAGCATGGGAACGCAGCGGGGTGAGGCCACATGAAGAGGATCCCATGCAGCCGGCGGCCTTTGCCGTCACACACCTGCCTCACCCCAAAAAAAAATGACTCAGCTCCTCTGTTCAAGGCTGCTCAGGACTAAGGAGCTTCCTCTCCGTGCAGGTGGATGCACAGCTGCTCCCTCTTCCAGGCTTAAGGCAAAGGCAGGCTGCCATCCTCGTCCGAGGTCTCTGCGTCCCCACTGTCCCCCACGGTCCCTCCGGCATGGCCGGACTCCTCCAGCTTCCTCCTCTTCTTCAGGTGGTGCAGGTGGGATTTGGAGCGTGTGTGAGCTGGAGGAAGAGGCAAACAGAGAGTTTTATCTGTGGAATTTGGAGGAGGAAACAGCCGAACCTCGCAGGCAGGGCAGAGCACCCTCCCTTCCCAGCCTCCCGCACAATTCACTCCCGAAGAAAAGTGAACTCCCAAAAACCCTGCCCTGGCTGCCCCTCTGGACACTTCCAGGCCAAACTATCAGGGCTCAGAAGAAGCTCCCAAACCTCCTCAGGAAGAAGTGAGTGAGGGAAAAATCCTGGTTCTGAGTAAGCAGAGGTTACTCCAGGTTGTCACTCCCAACCTCCCCAGGGAAGAGGGAATGTGCTTCCCAAGAGGTGGCACTTTGCAGGCTGCAGGTGAGGTTGTGCAACTCCCTGCTCCCCATGGAGAGCTGCCAGGATCATTTGTAGACCTGCATCCCTGCACCACAGCACTGGGAATATCCTGAGCATCCTACAGGGCAGCCAGGGAAAAGCTTGGAGCAGAATTAAACTTCTGAATAACTCCAGGGCAGTGCCCCAGCCATGAAAGCACTGCAGCAGGAGTCAAGTGGGAACAGAAGGGTAATCCCAGGGATTCAGCTTGGAGCAGCAGGAGCTGCATTTCTCGGTGAAATCACATCCTTAAGGACAGCCAAACCTCCTTATCAGCGGTTTTATCTCAGGGGAGGCTTTGTCTGACCATCTTGGCGGGGTGGTTTTGCCTTTTCCAAGAGATCAGAGCAGCAATTAAAGCCCAAACTTTTCAAGCAGGGCCTTAATTAAACCAGGGTATGTGCTCTGCTGAATCAAGGCCCTCAGGTGTTTTCCAGCCATTCTTTTTCTGCCAAAGGATGAAATCACATGCAA